TGTGCGGGGCGAGCGGCCTCCGGAGCCGCGACCCTCCTTCTCCCTCCTCCTCCCTCCTCCTTCCTCCTCCTTCCTTCTCTTCACGCCTCGGGAGCGGTGTCCGTTGTAACACTCGCCCCGGCTGAGCGGGCCCAGGGCGCCCGGGGGAAGGGGGCTGCCGGCGGGGGAGGCCGGAGCCCCGCGGCGGGACGGGGGGGGCGGGGGGGGGCGGAGGGGGGGGGGTGGCGGTGAGATGCTGGTCCCCGGGGGTGGGATGGGGATGCTCGGGGTAGGGACAGGCTCGTGTCGTGTCCCCCCCAGCGCCAGGGGTCCGAGGGGACTGGTTTTCCAAGGTAACATTTCTAAAGGAATGGATAAAACGTGCGGAAGTAGGGTGTCTGCAGCCGGGCATAAATCTGGGGGAAAACCCCGTGATTTTTGCACAGTTGCAGTAAATAAGAATGCTCTTGTGCAGCCACGGGCTCTTCGTTTATACCCGTGTGCCACAGAAGCTCGGAGGTGTTGGCAGTGACACCGGTTGAGCACAGATACACTTATTTTTTTTGCAGGGAGGTGAACGCTTCCAGCCCCCTCTAACTTTTCAAAACCCAGCAGAGTGTTTCCGAGCAATGGCACTAGTGCAAAATATTACTGAAAGTCCTATTTCAGCCCCCTAAAAAAAAAAACAACACCAAACCCAGCAAACATTCATGCCTGAATGCCAATTGCAGCGGGGAGCTAGCAATAGTTTAATTGGCTGTAGGGTGTGGGGTAATTTTAATAATTTTAGCAGGGTATTTCCTTCTTCTGGTTATGCTTTTCACAAAAGAAAATGCGTTTCTTCAAATGTGAGTATTTAGACCCAAGGAGGGGGGTGTGGGATGTTGGAGCTACCTTGAGATTGGGCTGAGTTTCCAAGTCCAAGTCTTGTCCCTGAGCAAGAAAGGCTGGAACTGGAGATCTGGTGCTTTCCTTCACTCCATCACACGCCTGTACATGTAAAGTTGAGGATAAGTGAGTTTGCACACACTGCCTGAGGTCAGGAGGCACACACGGTGTGTTTTCGAAGCCCCCTGGGCATCGTGTGGCCAGACAGGGGTCTGTGGCCGTGGCCAGCACAGCCCGATGGCCAGATAACTGCATTATTTGGGCATTATCATCTGTGTCACTGCTGGCTGCCACCCAACTGCCGACCGCTCAGGAACCCCAGCCAAGTAAATTCCAATTTTTCTAATAGTTTTGTCCTGGAAATGAAAAGAATCAGGCTCCTCAAAAACAGAATAAAAAAACATAAATAAAGGGAAAGTAAAGAAAGAAGACTTTTAGTTTGCGGAATGCCAGTGGAGCGTTCTGATTTCTAGAAGGTGTAATCAGTGGTCCCTTAACCTCGGGTTAGGATTGCACTGCCTCCATGGAAAGGATTGGTCTAAACCTGTGGTACCATCCTCCTCGGGTCTGCCCACTTACTCCTCCCCATTCTTTTTTTTCCCCACTTCCAATGGGAAAATGCAAATGTAGGCTCCCCTCTCCCCTTTCTCTCCTTTATTCACATAAGGAGAGGATGCTCCTTCTGAAGTACAACGGGGCTGGCAGCATCAGCTGGGTTTTTTAACCCCTTTCTTGACTAAAGATCTTTTAAAAGGACAATTTAATTTAAAAGCATAACGATGATGAGCTAGTCATGGTAGTGCTGGGCAGTGCATGGTTCAGGAGGTGTCCAAACCGATGCACAGGGGGTAAATATTGTCTCAAACAGGGAAAAACATCCTTAGGCTGAGGGAGATTGTAAAGTACATGCTAATTTGGACACCCAGGAGGGCAATATGCAAAAGAAGGTAAATGGGGGATCTTCAGTAGGAAGTAGATGTCAAACTGTGATGTGTCCTCAGGGGCTTTGTAATCAAAATCTAGTGGTAGAATCTATAGTGATAACAGTCACCAGGTGACTTTTTTCACCTGGTTGCCACAGAGTTTGGCATGACACTTAAATGATAAAAGTAACCAATTTCCTTAAAACGGATCTTTTGAATGGGTGGGGAGGAAAAAAAGAGGCCTTTTTATGTGGTTCCTCAGAAATGTGGAAGGGAACCTGATGGGGAAGAGGAGGCAGGTAGCAGGAAAACAAAACTCTAGGAAGATGTGTCAAGGTGGACATTGGGCGTTGCCAAGGAAGCATGTTTGGAATAATGTGGGGCTTTTGGGAGACTCGTGAGGGTCACCAGAAACTGCCATCACCTGTCTGTCTCCTGCTTGTCCCATTATTTTTCCCAGTTCAGCTCCCTGGTTCATTTTTTGTGCTCACATTTTGCCCTTCTCCCTAGTTGGACTTTCATTTCGGGATGTGGGGCCTGGGGAAAAATAAGCTAAAGGCAAAAAAGAGACAGAGTTGTTGAGATGATACATCTTGAGGTTCAACAGGACATGAAATTTTCAGATAGAGAAATAAGAGGGGAGCGAGCCCTGATTTCTGGGTGACCTGTAAGTAACAGCATCCGGATGGAAAATGATACAGAGATTCCAGCTTCAAATGATCATTTATGGTGTGAAAAAAGCAGTAAGATTCATGGCAGTAGGATCTGGTTCAGCCAGATCCATCGGTTGGGTTGACTCAACTCAGCTTTCTGCTGAGTCCAGGAGATCATGAATTAAATTTCTTTTAATTGCCAGCTGAACAACTGATTTTTCTTCATCCTGTTCCTCTATGTGCCTTTCAGGATCCTTTCATAGCGTTTCATCTTGACAAGACACTAGTAAGAAAGTACATGAGCCCGCTCCTGATTGGGGAGCTGGCACCAGATCAACCCAGCTTTGAACCCAGCAAGAATGTAAGTATCTTAAAAACTTGGTATTTGGGTTGAAATGGTGCTATTTAAGTTCTCTTACTGCCAGCCGGAATTCCTAGTACATAAAGTGATGGGATCTCCCAGAATCACTGTGTTGGTCTGAAGCTTCCCCTTGAGTTTATGCCATTATTTTTAATCTTAGTGAAGATTTGTCTCCAGGTGACCTTCAGCTTGTCCCCGTTGCCACAGTAGCTCCTTCAGAGGGGGAACTGAGCTCCTTTTTGGGTTCCTGAGGCATTTTCAGACCAGCAGACTACTCTTGGATCTCCCCACAGAAAAAGCTGGTAGAAGATTTCCGTGAGCTCCGTGCGACCGTCGAGAAGATGGGGCTTCTCAACCCCAACCGTGCTTTTTTCCTCCTGTATCTGTGTCACATCTTGCTGTTGGATGTTGCAGCCTGGCTCACCATCTGGTATTTCGGAGCATCCACGGTGCCTTTCCTCTTCTCTGCAGTGCTCCTAGGCACCGTCCAGGTAAGGGGCTGGGCAAAAAGAGGCCCCAGAAACACCAAAAAGCCAACCCTTGGAGATTTGGGTGCTCGTTGCCAGAAGTAGAGGAGAAATCTTATCTTGGTGGACTTCCCAAAGTTCTGTTTCTCCCTGAATTCCACCCAAGGGGCAAAATTACAGTGCCCAGGACATGCTGCTTTGGAAGAGCAGGCTTTGCCTTGCTTTTTCCTTCCCGTAGTCTGTCAAAGCCCTCCTTATTCCCAGCCTTCTTCACGCGGGGAAAGCCACACTCTGCTTCTGAGGTCCCTTGTGCCAGAACTCCAAGGGGCTGTGCAGGGGCCAAGCCTCCCTGTTCCCATGGGAACTCTCAGCTGAGTTAGAGGAGAGGGCAGAGCAGGGCTCAAAGCCCCAGCTATTCCTCCGGTGGCCAGATGATCCCCTTGGAATTACAAGTACTCGGAGGAGGCAGCAGCAAGCTGCTCCTTAAAGGAGACACTGTTGCCGGTTTCAGTGCAGTTTTGTAAGAGAATAAATGCTGTTTCTGAGCCCTACGACTTCTTTTTTTATTATTTTTTTTCATGATTTTTTTTTCCTTCTTCATGAAAACAACTGTCTGGGACTAAAAGTCATTAGGCAAAGTCTGGATTGCCCTGTTATATAGCAAAAGAGAAGCGTTTGGGTTGGGTCTCAGCAGTGGAAGTGCTCTCAGTACCCAGTTGTGAGGAGCGTGGGAGTGGGAGAAGAGAAAGCCCTTTTCAGAGGCAGAGCCTCCTGACTCTTCTTTTTCCCCCAGCAGCACTGTTTTGTTTTTTTTTGTGTTCGTTTGTTTGTTTTTAATTCCAGGCCCAGGCTGGCTGGCTCCAGCACGATTTTGGACACCTTTCGGTCTTTAGCAAGTCCAAGTGGAACCACTGGGTGCACAAGTTCGTGATCGGCCATCTGAAGGTGGGCATTCGGTGCTGAGATGGGACTGCTAGAGCCTTGCTTGGGATGCTCTGCACTCAAAAACCAGGCTCAGTATAAGAAGAAAACAAATGCAAGGAACTACTGGGGAGGGAGGACCAAGGGCAGAAGATACAACTTCTTTACGGCACTCTTCTTCTCACCCCTTCCTGCAGGGAGCACCAGCCAGCTGGTGGAACCACCTCCACTTCCAACACCACGCTAAACCCAACTGCTTCCGAAAGGACCCCGACGTTAACATGCACCCCTTATTTTTTGCTTTGGGAAAAACACTCTCTGTAGAGGTGAGACCTGGTGAAGGCTGGGAGGTTGCAGCATTAGGATTCCAGTTTGGGAAGCTGCAGAGAGGTTGGAGACTGGTGACCGGTTGGTTTGGTCAATGAGTTGTCTCCGTAATTCAGAAATTTAGAGAAGGTGCAGCTTGGGATTAATGACCTTTGAAAACAAGAAGAAAAAAGATCCTGATGCATCACTAAATTCCGTATACTTAATGTTGCAACTGGTGTTTTAATGTTTTTCTTGCCTTAACACATTCTTGCTCTGGGTTGAAATTTTCCAGATTTATTCTGGAGGTTTAAACCAAACCACCAAAACAGCTTCTGTAAAATGTGAAGTGCATCCATGGTTTGACTTGCCCTGCCGTTTTATATACTGCTACTTTGCCTGCCAGTAATCCCTAATATTCCGTAGTAATACTCCAATACTTCAGAGATTTTCATATTCTTAAAATTTCAACGGAAGTTATTTTTGCCCTGTTTAAAAACAAAAATGAGTCATTTGTCACAAGTTCATATTTCTCTGAGGAAGGACTTGCAGCTGTGTGAAGATAAGATTGCAAGTGGTTCTCTTTACCAAGATCAGCTTTGACTAATTTTAGTGTTTTGGGAAACAATGCAGCGGTTGGCAAGCGAGGACTGACTGGAACGTTTACAATTTGTGATCAAAGAAGGTATTTTGGCGGTCTCAGCCTGACAGTGGGTGTCAGACTGCGTCCCATCTGGAGCCCAGCTCTGTTTCTGGTACAGCTCTGAAGTTAATTGAGTGGCTTTAGCGTTTGCCAGTCCTTTAAAAAAAAAAAAAAGTTGTATAAATTCATAGTGGCACCTGACTTAAATGCTCTGATTTGCATTGCAATTAAGGGAGGGCTGCTATGTGTAATTGGCTTGGACGTGTACAGGGGTATAATGGAGTTCCTCAAGGAAGTGAGTGATGTGATCTGTCATGTTTATACAGCGAGCACTGAAAAATTAGCAGTCTAAGAGGGAGGATAATCCATTCACTGCTGTTCCTGTGGACACAGTTTAATGCCTAGATGCTCCTTTCTCTGCTTTGGAGATTAACTGCAAGTAGATGGGAGTCCTAGACATCTTTATTAATAGTCTAGAAGGTTTTCCTTTGTGTTTTTCTGAAACTATTGGCAGCAAACTGTTCTGGGTGACTCATGTGGGTTTGGATTTAAGTGTTGTGAGGTGACTGTGCCCTCTGTAGGGAAAGAGCCTCCAGTGCACGTTGTTGTTGGTGGCTCAAGGGACTACCCAGCCTTTTCGGGCATCCAAGGCAGGGATGAAACCTTAGCTCAGCAGTCCTAGGTGGAAGTTCCAGGGGATGATGAAGCCAATGGCATGGTGGAAGCTGGTGTGGTTTGATAGGACATCTCTTTCAAAGCTTAGGAGGTCTCTTACGTACACATTTCTTCAAAAGCATAGGTAGGAGGGTATGCACAGATGGCTTTAGCTGTCTTCATGGCCTGAGTCATTTGCTTATTTTAACAGCTCGGTGTGCAAAAGAAGAAATTCATGCCTTACAACCACCAGCACAAGTACTTCTTCATCAGTGAGTAACCCTACCCTTCCACAGCTTTCCCCCAACCCCTTTCTTTTCCAGTCCGTCCCGCACAGGGACACAGTTCATGTCTCTGCAATCTTTTTCTCCTCTCTAGTCGGTCCCCCAGCTCTGGTGCCTCTTTACTTCCAGTGGTACATATTCTACTTTGCCATCCAGAGGAAGCAGTGGGTGGTAAGTCAGCTCCAAGTTGCCAGTGGTGACTTCTCCTTGATTTACAGACACATTCCAGCACAAGAAATTACTGGGAGGAACTCTGAGCTGTGTATCTCAGTGACTAGGGGCTGTGGGTAATAATGTCTCTAATGTTCTGCCTTAGTCCAGGGTGTGTGAGTGTCCTTCAGGTAGCATGAGAGTGTAGTTAAAGGTAGAAGTGGTCCTTCTGGCCACTGTGTTATATTTTTCCAAACCAATACAATAAAAACTTGTGGGCACAGAAAAAGCGGGAATGTAACAGAAATCAGAGGGGGGTGGAGGAGGATTTAGTTCCTCTCCATTTTACAAAATGATATATTAAAAATGGAGTAGCTTTCAGGTAGGCTGAAATCTGGATCCTGGCAGTTCAGTGTGAAGAGGAACAGGGGATGTGTGGTAGACTTCTGGAGTTCTTAGGAAGAGAGTTTGTCAGGGGAAAACCTAGAGCTTTGAGGAATAGCGTGGCTTTTAAAGGCTTTAGTAAAAAAAGCAGAGAAAAAGATGTCTGTTCTCTGAGATGTGGCGATTGGAGACAAGGCATCTTGCTGTTTTATTCTTGCCGGGAGGTGGGACAACCAGGAGAAAAAGCACATGAGGGAAAGAAGAGATTGCAAGAAATGTAAAAAAGAACAAAAATGAATGAGATGGAGGCAAACCAGAGGTCTTTATTCTCTCAGTTGGCTAGGTTTTTAGTTTTCTCACTGCTTGCTTTCTCCTTAGATCTGGAGGAAAGTGTGATGCTTTACAGCATGTCCTCTCCAGTGTTTGCCCTGGCTTGGGCCTATAAGAGCAGGACAATTCCGAGCATGGGAATGGCTGTGTGTCAGATCGCTTTGTGATGGGGCCAGGGAGGAAAACATCCATCAGTAGAAGATATTATGGGAGGTTTTAAAGGGAGTGCCACCTGGAGTGGATGGTAAATTCAGAAACCAGTAATTCTTCCTCTTAATGAAGTTTTATCTGTTCCCTATACCACAGGACCTGGCCTGGATGCTGAGCTTCTACATCCGATTCTTTCTCACCTACTTGCCCTTACTGGGGGTGAAGGGTATCCTGGGGCTTCACCTCTTAGTCAGGTATCATTCAACTCCTAAATCCTCCATTTTTTTGACCCATTTTACATCGATCCTTCACGTCAGCTTTTCTTCAGCCTTCTGGTTGTCTTTCTAATCGGCTCCTTATTCTTCTATCTCCTTACACCTTTCAGCAAGACAGTGGTTGTTGTCTGTCAAGCGTGTGTCTTTAGAAGGTGTGCGTAGGTCTGATCTGCTGCTCAGATGTTTGAGGTTCCTGGTGTTCATTTTGTCAAGCAAGGACTAGTTTGTGTGTGTGCAAGTGTTTTGTACTGACTTGTTACCCCATCGGTGCGAGGTCAGTAATGGTTTTGTGTGTGTTTCCGTGCACAGGTTTATAGAGAGTAACTGGTTTGTCTGGGTTACACAAATGAATCACATCCCGATGCACATCGATTATGATAAGAATGTGGACTGGTTCTCTACCCAGGTAAGACCTTCTTTCCAGACATCCGTGGCTTTGAAGGTGAGAAGTTACAGTTCTGGGTATATAATATCCAAGAGAGCTGATTGCAGAAGCGATGGGAACTGGGAGAGGAAAACAGAATCATAGAATTGTCCAGGTTGGAAGGGACCTTTAAGATCATCTAGTCCAACCATCAAGCTACCTCTGATAAAAACCATCACTAAACCATGTCTCTAAGCACTATGTCAACCCGTCTTTTAAATACCTCCAGGGATGGTGCCTCAACCCCTTCCTTGGGCAGCCCATTCCAATGTGCAATAACACTTTCAGTGTAAGAATTTTTCCCAATATCCAATGTGAACCTCCCCTGGCACAACTTGAGGCCATTTCCTCCTGTCCTATCACCTGTGACTTGGGAGAAGAGCCCAACCCCTGCCTCTCTACACCCTCCTTTCAGGGAGTTGTAGAGAGTGAATGTGAGCAGCTTGTCCTCACCGTGTGGAGTGAGTAATTAGTGCAAAGGCAGAAGGTGCAGAAGTAGGGTGGAGGCTTCAAACGCTGAGCACAGATGCCTCAAGGAAATTAATTAGCGATGCTCCGATGCTCTTCAGATAGAAAGCTTTCTGTGTGTGAAGGATGAAGATCTCTTGAGTGGTTTGTCTTTAGTTCTGAAGCCGTCACACAGTTTTTTAAGTGAGGGAGGCGAAAGTCATGATTGTTATGGCTTATCTCACTGGGGAAGTCAAGTCTGCTCTCCTAAATTATGTTCTCAACAATTGTATGTCACAGCAGGGCCATCTCGTGTTGACTGGAGATTGTTCTTGGAGTTGCTGTATTCAGCCAGAAGACATGTGATGATTAGGAACTTGTACCTGCTTACTGTTGTGTTTGGCACATAGAAGAGAAGGGATATTCCTAAAACAACACTTAATGTTACTGTTTTTTTTCTTTCAGCTCCAGGCAACCTGCAATGTTCATCAGTCCTTATTCAATGACTGGTTTAGTGGACATCTGAACTTCCAAATCGAGCACCAGTGAGTTGAAGCATGGATTGGGGATGTGAGGGAATTTCAAGGAGTGCTAGTTACACTGGGTCTGAAGAGCGTACGAGATCCCTGTCTCTCTATAAGCTAATGCAAGAGCAACAGATAATGTGGGTAAATGTTATGCTTTTTATGCTGGGGATGGAAGGGGAACCCCAAGTGATGGGTCAGAAAATTTTTGGAGCACCAGTGAGTACCAGAACCACTTCAGATGAGTAGCATGGCACAGGAATTAATAACAATTAACAATTAAATTATATAAAAATATTAAAAATTAATAACCAGGAGAATTCCCAGCCTCCTGGTTAGTTCAGGTACTGACTGAAGGAACATGAGAGGGACCACTACAGGTTGACTAATGGCTACAGGCACAAGGGGAGGTTGAGGCACTCCCAGGCTTAGGTGCAGAAGAGGGGCAGGAATTTTGTGGGGTGGTGACGGCTGCTGTTGAATCACCATATTCTTTTCCCACAGCCTTTTTCCTACGATGCCAAGACACAACTACTGGAAGGTGGCCCCTCTGGTGAAGTCCCTGTGTGCCAAACACGGCATCAAGTACCAGTGCAAGCCCTTGCTCACTGCCTTTGCGGACATTGTGCAGTACGTATCGACCCGCTGCGTTCCCAAAGGGAAAGGGTTTCAATATTACGGAGTGAACAAAGGAGGGGTGTGGGAAGGGGAGGGACAACCAGGTTGGGTCACAGAAGTTCTCTGGAGAACTATAGATTGTATAGTTGGCTATGAAAGGAGTCAGAAGACTGTCCAGCCATGGCGCTGGTTTCAGTAGCAGCAGAAGGTGTCCATAGGAATGACCTAATGGAGACCTCTTTTTCTTCAGCTCTGAAGAGTAAGAGGTCAGTAGGATGCCAGGTCTTGCTCCAGGGAAAGAGGTGTTTTCATAAAGATGTTTGAATTGCCATTCATTCTTTTTTCTTCCTTTCTTCCCCTCCTTCCCCCCCCCAGATATTTTTTTATTCCATTGAATAGTCACATGGTTCTCTTCTGCCATGCTTGTTCCTTTTTGTTTTCATTCTAATTCAGTTGTTTGCTTTAGCCTTCCAGTCTCTGTCTGATGTAGCCCAGTGGTTTGGTGGTCCTTCCTGTTTCCAGGGATCTGTAGTCTATATTCGTTTGCCTCTGAAGGTCTCCGAGCAGCCTGATCTGGTTGAAGATGTCCCTGCTCGTTGCAGGAGGGTTGGACTAGATGATCTTTAAAGGTCCAGTCCAACTGTCCAACCCAAACCATTCTATGATCTCCTTTGCTTATTATAGATGGGAATTCTTCCCACCAGGCTCTGTTCTCTGGACTTTCTATTTCATTACCTTGTGTCTAAGGAAATGTGGTTCTCTCTTGGCAGCTCTTTGAAAGATTCAGGGGAGCTCTGGCTCGATGCCTATCTGCATAAATAAGAAGCAGTGGATCCTTACAGAGGAATTCCCCACCCTTGTTGCCTCTTGTGGTGATCACCATGAAGACACTGCGCAGAGGAGAAAGAGCTGGCAAAGCCAGAGATGGGGAGGTGGCACCGCTTAATTCCGTTGATGAATGTGATTAATATGATTTTATTTTTTTTTTTTTTTAAAGATACGTTTCTTAATTCTTCTTGTGCTTCTTTCATTCCTCTTCTCTGGTGCTGGGTTACAGGGAAAAGCTGAATGGAGGAGGTGTTTTGTTCCACCAAGCTGGAGGCAGCTGTGGGACTGGGAACAGATTCCTTTCTGTCTGCTGATACGTGATTTGCTGAGTATCTAGGAGGGAAGTCTCTTCTCTAACATAGGCTTTTGCGAGGTGGCTCTCAGGAAGGTAGTAAGAAAGTTGAGACAGTATGAAATCAAAGAACACGGGAGTTAGTGAAATGTGGAAGCAATAAGGAATTGTGTAGGTAACAGTGTTTTCAAATACCTATTTGTAATTAACAATGGCAATAGAAGTGCCCAAACCAAGGGAGAGTGGGGAGGACGTGAGAGCCCAAACCAATTTATGTGTGCGTGGGTGAGAGAGAGAAAGGTGCAGGCAGCAGTTCTGTAGGAATAATCATGAGGAAAAATATACAATTAGAGCCCTAATTAAGGTAGAGAAACAGGAAAGTGGAGGTTATTCTGCAGGCATGTAGATGGGAGATCTCGGCATGCCATGTTCTGTGGCATCTCTTCTCCCATCTCTTCTGTGGTGAAGATGCTCGTTGGCAACCTCCCATGGAGTCTCTGCAAGGGGTTTCCACAGTGCCGTGCTTCTGGGTGTTACTGGACCCATTACTGAAATTCCAAAGGGAACAGAACTATGGCACGTCCATACTGGTGATCCCTAGAAGGGCGAGGAAGGAAGTGAAAGGGTAATCGGTCTGTGGTCACCTGAAACTTCACTCTTTTTGGAGTGGTTCATTAAGTGGAGAGAACTCATGACTTCTGGCCCATGAAGCACGAGCTGCAGACAAGTTTAACAAAGTTATAAAAGTGTTAGGGGTTGGGGTACAGTTTCAATGTGCTTGACTTCGATTGGCAGAAGTCAGCACACCCACAGGCAGCCATCAGCCAATACATTGCTGGTCTTCCTCTGTTGGATGATGTGCCTTCAAAGCACACCCCACGAGGGCCTGTACTCTGTCATTTATTGGAATGGGAATTAGCCTTTTTGCATTTCCTGGTGTCTTTTCATTTATTGCATCAACATTACGGGTGCCAAACAGAAGATAGCATCTGGCATAAGCACTAATGAAGACGGCTCCATCACCATGTCACCTCAGTGACATCAGGGGTTTAGTCTCCAAGCAGGATGGGTTGATTTTTGAGGAACATACAGTACTTTTTCTAAACGACATCCAAAAAGAGGGTGGCTTGTGAGGCAATTGAAGAAATGCATCTTCCCAGGCCAAGAGTGGTGTTAAGCACAGGGTAAAATTGTAATGGAAATAATAAAATAATCATTAAATCATTGATACCTGTTGATAAAGACCATGAAGAAAATGGGCCTTAGTTACTCTTTTACCTTCCTTTTTCCTGCTCTGTTTCTTTCCCTCTTATTATTTGAACTGTTGATGGAGGAAAGTCTAATAATAAAATTATTTGTCTTACCCATTATTGCTGTCATCAGAGTGAAATATGTGAGTGCAAGAGCCTGCACTCTCCAAAACCAGAGCCTGAGCTGCTCTGGTTGCTGGATACTCATGTCCCAGCTACGGAGATACTATAAAAGTGCAAACTTCCAACATATTTTGGAGGAAGACAGCGAGGCTTCAGCTCGGTTCATGAAGCTGTGAAAGTCCTTACCAGAGGGATTGTGGCACATGAGGTAAGCAGAAGAAATGCCACGTGTAGGTCAAGTGGGTGGTAAGTGTTCAGTGATGGTGAAGTGCTCGGTGTTGCCTGGTTTTTTTGAATGCCCAGAGTCAAAACGTTCATTATCAGGATGTTTAATATTGAAAATGCAAATAAATTTGAGGGCTAGGATGTCCTGACAGTTTTCTAAAAGAATAATGTGCCTAAGGCTTTGGAGAGTCTTGTGTTTTCTCTGCCACAGTAAAGAGGAAACAGCCACGATACAATAAACCAATTGCCAGTCTAACCAGGAGAAATAACAACCTGTGAACTGATTCACAGTCCTAAAGGGTAAGACTGAAAGAGGACCTGAATCAGCACAAGCAGATCTGCATCTGCTGAGTTTGCTAGAAGTTCTCCTTGTGTGTGACAGCTGCAGAGGAGAAATAAGCTGTGATGACTTCCTCGGGTTCTGTGGTTACTTTGGGCTGTTTATAATTCGTGGTGACAAGTTACTCTGAGACTTCTAAAATAGAAATTTTACAATATTATTCGAACACGAGTCCAAACCTCCTTTCGGGTTCTGGGAATGTGCATTGAGGTACACCTTTTTGGAACACCACCAGCCTCAAATTTGCCATTTTTTGGAAGTCCTTTGGCTTCACAGTTCAGCTTTAAAACGTGGAACATGAACATTGTGAAATGGCCACAGGGTGGCAGGCGGGCATCAGAGGGGAAGGAGGACATCCAACCTCAGGGGGAACTGGAGCGTGGGTGGTTAAAGGTTCCCATCTCCCTTTATCTTACTTTTCTGTTCACTTAAGGGAAGTAAATATGAAATTAATGCACAGCTCAAAGCAGCTTTTGGCTGATGTGAGAATGGAACTCCTAAAACTCACTAACCAAAGCGTTATATCTCCATCTCACCCACTGTGATGGGTAAGACTGAGTTAAGGTAAGTTTTGTCCACAGCTTGTTGGGCCTTTTGGATTTGGGTTTTTATTTTGGTTCAGCCTAAACACTAGTAAATGAAAGGTGTGCTAAATGAGCAGTACAGATTTAACAAATGTGAAAATTCATTCTGAAGATCTCTCAGGTGGATCAGATCGTGGCGTTGGAGAGCCTCATTAATCTTCTGCTGTTGGTAATTGTTCGAAGCCAGGTGACCCCTAAGACGGTAGTTCTGAAGTTTTGTGTGTTGCATTTACATATTCTGAGCTTAGATGCTCTTTTTCTGCCACAGTTGTGACCCATTAGGCAATGAAGTACTTGAATTACATGGTGTAAGGAGAGGTTTAATGAATGGGGGGATTGTTAAAAAAAACAAACCAAAACCAGCACAGTAACAAAGCTTATTTAGGGATGAAGACAGAGCATTTACACCCAAGGTGAAGCCTGTTAGTCTGTTAGTTTTCAGCTCTCCATGGGATTTGGGTATTGGGAGAGGATATAGTCCCCGAAGACGTTCAAAGGACAAAAAATTCATCAGACATTTGCATGGGGTCCTAAAAAGTGGGTCTGAGGTCCTAAGGCTTTGAGGATTATCCAGTTCAGTGGAGTATTGTTGGGCAAAGAGGTGGCTGCAGCCCAGAATAAATCACTTTTTTCAAATCAGGGAGGAACATTCTATGAATCTGTGGTTTTTCAGCAATGGAATTGTATTTTATAATATTTTTCAGCAACTGGAATTATAAAAACGTTAGGGTGATGTTAAAACAGATAAGGGTGATGGGCCAATAGGAAGAGGAAAAAACGCTGTAGTTTTCCCCTTCCCAACACCCACACGTTTTAACTTGTTAATGAACTGGCCTCACGATCCTTGCCCAACCCATGTGTGCACTTGCTTCCATTATCCTGAATTCCTCAAGAGGTGAACTGTGGTGTTTATAGAATTTTCTCCATCTTTAGAAAAGAAGGAGAAGTGAAGATGATTGTACATCCACACAGGATAGATAATGGATGCAGACGAGCTGCTCAGAAACAGGATGATTTGTTGCTTCCCAAGATAGGTTCTTTTATAAGGAATATAAAGGGATTTCTTAACAGGTCAGGTGAAGAGGACTAATGTATTAATGCAACACGACTCATGGGTGGGGAAAGAAAGAGGATTACATTACACTGGAAGAGAGTTCATTGGCATGAATGCGGTTTCTGTGTGATTTATGTCTGCTGCAGAGACTAATATTAAGTCTTCAGAAAATGGAGAAGAATATCTACAAAGAAAGTTTTGAAACAGCAATAAAAAATAATGCACCGATGAGTGCTTATTTGAAAGGTTTATATGATGGTGTCCTTTAGGCAAAATGGTTTGCTTCTGTGAGAAACAGCAGATTTGTAGAGTTGGAGGATCAATTGACACAATCCTTTTTTTTTTTTTTTTTCCAAGGGAAATTAGCTTAAAAATATAACACAATAAATAACCTATCACCTATGCACCTAATGTGCAATTTTAATTACTGGAATCCTTGTCTAAGGACAAAAGAGTCTTTAGAACATCACGTTTATGTGTGTTCGACACCTCCAGTAGATGTTCTAGGAATACTGTGGAGACATATTCAGTCATGGTGAAAATTGCCCTTCCTTTTTGGTTGCTGGAGGCTTCGTTTCGCAGGTTCTGCAACACAACGGTACCGAACGCGTGATGTTTGCCTGCCAGCGACTAAGTCTCTTAGGTCTTGTTGAGATGGGAAAGCTGGAAAAGGTCTCGTGTGTTGAAGGCAAACCAGCATTTGCTCCCCCAAGGCAAAAAGAGATGATGTGGAATCACTAAAATAGAGGAAGCTCTCAGGCCATTTCCAAAGGTCTGACTGATCCATAGCAGTCTACCTTGTCTTTGGTCACAAGAACTTGCTTAGCTCTTTGATTTTTGCAGCTCTTGCCAGTTTGGAGATTTTTTTTTTTTAAATATATATACATATATATGTTTATTATTTATGTTTTTTGGAGGGGCAGTCCTGCAGGCTTACAAAGAGTGCACGAGCAATTCAGTTTTCTACAACAAATTTGATTCCTTGCTTGTTCACAAGTAGATTTCTTCACTGAGTCATCCACCCCAAGAAACAAGGTCTCTTTGGATCCTCTTAATCATGGTCACTATGTCTTGAACGGTAGGTTATTGCTGTTAATGCATAAAAAGGAGGTCTAACGTTTGTACCACTAAAAATAGAAAGAAAAGTGCTTCATACAGCTCCAGTTGGTTTTAAGTAGGTTTGTCACTTGTCTGCTGCTCAAAAACCTACTTGATAGCTGAGCATGTGAGCAGAAGCACGTGGCCTGATGCTTCCCCTCTTAAAACAGGGGAATTTACCAGAATACTTTTTGTGATTGCTCCTTCAATTCCATCCAGAACTCCTTTCTGGAGGCTGATTTCTCACTGTTCTGTCTCTCCTGCCAATCTGGTCCCTTTTTTTCTACCTCCTTCTTCCCCCTTACACCTTTTGGGATGAACACGAGCGCTTCTAAAGCAATCGTTTCGATAGGTAGCCAGATAGAATGATAACTTCTTCTGGCAAGAAAAGATACAAATGTCTTAGCAATTAAGTCTGAATTCCTTTCCAAGATCATCTCGCAATCAGTTATGAAAAGGGAACAAGATGAAGTAATAAATACTGGATGTTGCCCAAGTGAAAGAAAAGGAGAATGAAGATGATGCTGATAAGCTCAGGTTATGTCTTGGCCATTCTGAGGTTCTTTTTATTTGAGTCACCCTCTTATCCCCTCATCCAAGAGGAAGATCAGAAACACGTGACTTCGTTTGCAACTAGAAAGCTACAAATATTTCTGTCTTGAGTAAAAATCCCAAAGTTACCAAACTAGGGGAATAAATAGGGGAAAAGGCCTACTGGAATCTAATTCAGGTTCAAGAATAGACATTCTGAGTAGCTGGTTCATGTTATGGTCTATGTCTTATAGAAAACTTCTAATTCTTGAAGAAAACTTTTCTTCTGAGAGAGCAACAACATCACTTTTACAGAGATAGTTGCAACCTGTAAGTGCTGTGAGGCAGAACATGTCAAGGCAGGGATAGACTAGGATAGATTCCTAAACTTTGTGTCATCAGATGCAAGACCAGAGGCAGAACATGTGATATTATTTTTTTTTTAATATAGAAAACTGAGAATTTTCAAAGTTGTTGAAGTCCTATCAGGCTCATCAGGATCCTCTTCTGTCTCTCCTCTTCTGTTCAAGATTTCTTGTACTGGAGGAGCCGAATTCATGGTGTACTCCAGCCTGTTGTACCTGCCAATGAAGGACTTGTCAAAGAGAACCAGGATGATGCCTGGCCAAGGAAGAGAAGGAGTTAGGACTTTCTGTAATATGGGAGGAAAGCAGGATTGCCTTGGCAATGCCTCAGGCCCCAAAGGCTATTTTAGGGGGGAAGAAATTTTTACTCATGCTTTTGAAGTATGAATAAGACTCGTGCTGGATCAGCCCATTTGCTGTAGAATTATCCGTACTTGGGAAGTTGACTACCTGACAGATGGATGTTCTAGTCTCAGAATTGAAATACAGAATATCTAGAAATGGGTCCAGAATTCATTCCGTCTTTGTCTGAAGTGGCAGAGTCACTTGTGGCTAGAAGTTATGATCTGCCACCAGAGAGAAAAGAACTGGCAGGTAGGAGTATATGTGCACCCACATCAGTGTGGAGGAGTCTTAGAGGATAGAAACTTTGTGGACTTACATCCTCAAGTTGCACAGGGGAGGTTTAGACTGGATATTAGGAAATTTTTTTTCACTGAAAGGGTTATCAAACACTGGAACAGGCTGCCCAGGGGAGTGGTTGAATTGCCATCCCTGAAGGTATTTACAAGCCAGGTAGA